TTTTTAATGACTCTTTTATTCTCAAGATTCATTCTTACCCCAATGGTGAATAGATGAATGATAAATAATACCGATGATGAATTTCAAGGGGATGAGCTGAAAGTTGTCTTCGAGGATTCCATAATTTGTTTCATCTCGGCAAATATTTTTTCTCCAAACGAAATGGAAAAGTGGTCTTGTCCAGAGTCCAGAGTCCAGTGTCCAGTCTCACTCGAGGAAACGAAGTTACATCCACTTCTTGCTCTTCACCACTGATCAAGAAGGTGGAGAAAGTCAAGTTGAATTCCAGAGTTTGAAAATCGATGGGTATTGTCGATGAAAATTCATTGAAAATTTCACTAAGTGAATCCCCTAATTTTTATTCACACTGAAGCAGAGGATAATGACTTCCTGGCTCTCGCGAATACCCGAGCGATTGATATCATCTCCAAAAGGCTGAGAGAGAAAAAGAGAAAAGAGCCTCGTGCAATCAGAACCCAATGGTCCTAAGAGTGCATTTATTCCTGATTGGTTACTGTTCGAGGAGTAAAAAATCGATATTGGCCCATAACCACGAGAAATATCTTTGATTTTGTCTCAATCCACCGACTTGTACTGTATTAATGGTAGGTATGTAGAGGAGATCTCTTAACCTAATGTCATTGCTATTTGCTAGTCTCCTCTGATCCTCAAACTGAGGCATTCAGGTATGCTCACTGATGAAGAAGATTGTGTGCATGGAATTTCAGTTAACGGTAAGTGTTTGGTATTGATCGAATTGATAGTTCTTGGAAGTCATTGAAGCGAATGAACTGATGTGCTCGTGTGTGTATAAATTTTATTTTAGGAAAGCAAACGATAGCACGATTGGAATCATCGAGTCTTCTATCCACTCGTTATCCTACCCCATGTACTTGACAAATCCGATATGGAAACGAATTCTCATTGTTTCGATCCATGATAGTGCGAAAAAATGTCTATGCGATTAAGGATCCGAGTGAATAGTCCGATGGAATGGATTCTTTTATGAATCGCAGGAACATGATGGACGATTGAAGATATAAAACGGAATGTTACGGTACATCGGATACACTGGAAAACCGTTGAGAACAGAATAATGGATAACAAAAGGGTTTCTCATTGTGTGGGTGCCTCAGAGAACCAAGAACCAAGTTGAAATCATCCATATGGAGAGACTATTATGTTCGATTTTATCCTCGTTTTGATGGGGTGAATTCCCTCGCTGCGATTCTGTCTGTCGGGGGTTGATGGAAATTTTTGTAACAATTGCATACATGTCCGCTTGAGAATGTGAATAGTCATTGAGCGTGACGTCTCGTCACATTCTTACCAAAGTCTCAGCATTTATTTGACTTCTGCAAATGAACTTTATCGACCTCCACTCTCCAATTTTTATGGATCAAAATCCTATTATGATCCTTCAGGTTTCCTCCTCCAATTTGGGGACAAAGTTGTCGCATCACTTTTGCAAGTTCATCCCCTGGAGTTTTCGTGGCCTCTTTCCAGAACTCTCCATTCCCATTCCACTCCACCCTCCACGCGTTACTTGCTGTCGTCGTGGGTCCGTTTCACCGGTTGTTTCACGATAATGTATCACGAGTTATGACGCACGAGTACACACCACTACAGTCGTAATTCACTTTGAAAACTCGGCCAGAATTTTCGGATAAATCAGTTCTGCTCGGAGGGCAGAATGTCACATGCTCCTCTTCATGGGGAGGGAAAATCATTGGTCTGTTGAAAATTTTGGCTCAACTTTATCGCATACGTCTTGCAGATATTTAGCAAGTGACATTTATCCGGGAATCACATGGTGAAAAAAAAAGGATTCGCCTTGCCTTTTTCGCGAAAAATTTTATTCACTTTTTTTATATTTATATTCCCTCGTGGGGTGGTTATAAAAATTCCCACTCACTCGTCCGTTGAGGACAAGGGCACGACCTCCCGTGGTCTGTAAAAAAAAAATATTTCATGGCCTGACGAACGATCTGCGTTGGGTTCGTTAGGCGTTTGAAAAATTTTTCGTTCGCGTGGGTAACCGCCCCATTGGCTCCGAAAAAATAGAGCCCTTCACAATTATCCGACCGTACGCTCTCGTGTGTGAGCTTCAACCTGTCTCTCACCAGTCCAAGTTTTTCCTTTCAAAGGCCGAAACGACAGATCGCTTTCACGCTAGATCACGCTGTGGCGAGTTGTTTTTTTTTGTCAAAGGATCAATATTTCAAGCCCAGTGTGAAATTCAAGGGCTCTCGGCAAAAAACAGACATAACATTCATTATATTCTACGAAGCACTACAAAATCCACAGATTTGTTATTTTATAAATCGAATGGAAATCCCATTCTCCTGTTACTCATCACCACCATGCAAATTATTATTCGGCTAAAACCCATTCCCCAGATGAATCCACTGACGGCGAAAATGGATGAACGAATGGAAATTTGGAATAATGAGAAATGGTATTGGAATCCATTTAACAATTGACAATTCAATCCGCTGTGAATTTCATGCAGATGGTTGCCCATTTCCTTCAGCAGATTATGAACTCAATGATGAGTTTCATTACAAAAAAAAAAAAAACAATGATTCGATATGTGCGATAATCCATCGAAGAATAAATCCAATCAAACCTCATTCCCCTAAACTCCGTGAGTTCCCATCGATTCATTGCCATTCCCCTAATTCCTCGAATGTGTAAACAAATTACGATAAATTACGTGTATAAAATAGGGAATAAAAAAAAAACAGTGTGGCATACCATTCGCGCGATAGCCATTGCGCTGTATTCCAGTTACAGACGGAAATCAATTTGCGTCTCGTGAATGAGAGGAGTTTCAGTGCCCGAAGAGAGCGAGAGGTGAGAAAATAGAAGAATTCAAAAGAGTAGAAGTTGTATACACGACCTCCCAGCAGATTCCATCGGAGCTGGCCTGCTTCTGTGAGCCCGAGAAATTTAATTAAGTTAAACGAAAATTAATTGTTGCAAAAGGATGGCGCACAAACGCATGTCTCGCCCGGCGCTCATTCCAGTGGCAATTGTATTTTTTATTTCTCTTTATCCCTCGCTGGACAATGAAAAGAGATCGTTCACTGAATTGATTTATTTTTCGGGAATAATGAAGACAACTGCTTGAAATGACTAATGAATTCCACGCGATTGTGACGATAACAAATTGATAATCCACATGACCAAGCTCATAGAAATCATATAGATGAGACCATCAACCGGTCACTCGTAATGAATACCGTCAAACGTTAAACATGTTCATCCGAATTGTCCGTGGAATAGAGCATTATGAAACTAATTCTCTCGAATATGAGAATCAAGTTAATTGACAGCAATTAACTTTTGTCCGATTGACTCTGATCGTGTACGGGGGCTACCCGCATTCATTAATCTCCAATTAGCATGAAGTCTATTTGATGGTGCATCCCAAAGCACCCCAAGAACTCCATCGATTTTCACCACATCCTAGGGTTTAACAGGGAAAACAGCCGTGGGACAGATGTCCCAGGGGCTCCAGTGGAACGCAGAGATCGAGGAAATGATCGATTTCGTGTTGCCCCCATCATCCATCACCAAGATTTCATAACTCTCGAAACCGCTCTCACTTCATTACGGCCTCAGGCCATTTTTTTTCCCAGTGTCGAATATTTTTCGCGGGATTGGACAAACTGTCATTCATCAGTTTTATGCTGCGTCGTGTCATCCATTTTTTATTTTAAATAAAATACCGCTTTACACTGTTAAACATTTTGAATATCCAAAATATTCCTGAATAGTTTCCGCAGGAAACGGCCTCTTGTGATCTTTCAGAAAAATCTATGGGGGTTATTCTGGTATCATTTCTCGAGATGTCGAGCTTTCTTCAGCCCCAGACATACGGTCAATAGTGCTTTTGTCTCGATAAGACAGCTATTCTTTTATTCTTGTTGATGGACTCTTTCCCTGCCCTCAATCATCCCTCCATTCTGTTCATCTGAAGGACCCCAGGCTTAGCACTTCATTTGTGAGAAATGAAAAAAGTCCTTTTGAAAAATACCTCTTCGAATTTACTTCACTCCGAGTTCCCGAATTTTTGGAATTTTTTTTGTAACCCCGAAAAAAATAGGAATCTCGTTTCAATATTAAAATAGGCACTTGCATTGATAGCAGACCTAGCTCAACGAGAAAAAAAAATATCTGGAAGGTCAGAGGGGCACGTCAGGTGCTGTTTTATATTCACAATAAAAAGGCCTTCGGAAACCATCTGGCGCTAACATCACATCGAACGGGAGGATATTAAAGAAAAAAGGGAGCGTGAAATTTCATGGAAAATGAGAATATCCCTCGTGTCCTGGCAATGCGAGAGTAAGAGATAAATTGGAATTCAGAATTCTGAAAAAATTGATGCCATTTTCCCAAACTTTTCCCGGAAAACCCACATTAGAAAATTCCAGAGAGTTGAGTATTCCCAAGTCGTGAATATACAGAGACCCAGTAGTAACTTTATAGTCGGACACTGTCCGCATTTTATCAGTAAATCACGAACGGCGCACTCGTTCGCGTTTCGGATACCCCACATTGAAAATATTCCCTTGACTATATTTTATTGTTCCTCCACCGCACCCCCGTCTTCCTCTCGCTCTCGCAGTGATTGAATCAAAGATATTCCTCGCGGTTCTAATTATCCACAGATATTTGTTCTCAATTTCCATTCTCCACCGGACGAAAATGTCGAAAATTAAAGAAAGAAACCAATCGGGGAAATTCCAAAAAAAAAAAAATCGAGTGAACTACCACTCGTAAATTTTTCATTTCCCATCCCCTCCATCTGACGACTTGGTTTTTGTTATTCATCCCCCCGAGTCTTTACGACTATCGGAAGGATGTCGATAAGGTCGCTGACGCTATCAGTAGTGCTACGTGATCTGCCACTGAAAAACTCTTCCCCACCACCCGTCTCCAACGAATAAATTGATAGCTAGTGTTTTATACATTTGCAAACTTCTCTGTTACAGGATCATCGGACAATGGTAGAAGGCATCCGGTACTCTTGTACATCCACGGTGAGAGCTACGACTGGGGCTCGGGAAATCCCTACGACGGCTCTGTTCTGGCTAGCTACACAGATCAAGTTGTTGTTACCATGAACTATCGGCTAGGTGTCCTCGGTTTCCTAAATGCCAATATTTCACCTCAAACTAAAGCCAGGGTAGCCAATTATGGCCTGATGGATCAACTCGCTGCACTTCATTGGGTACAAGAGAATATTGCCCAATTTGGAGGTGATCCTGGTAATGTGACACTGATGGGCCATGGAACGGGTGCAGCATGCGTCAACTTTCTCGCCATCAGTCCCACTGTTATTCCCGGTAAGTGATTATTCGAAAAATTTCCACTTATATATTTGGAATGACATTTCATCACCGAGTCTTATGAAAATATTTTCGCTTCGACAGGGAATATCTCGTTTTCTCAAATATCTGCTGCAAGTTCGGGGCTCATGATTTCGGATTAGGTGTCTGTGAATTCAATTTACATAAACTTCCTCATGAGTTATCAGCGTACATCTACACTGTAATTGAGTATCTTTGCCTCTTGTTTCCAGTAAATATGTGCTGAATGAGAAGGGATAGAGTGGGAAACATACCATCTGCTAACAAGTTTCTGTACAGTAGCAGTATGACAGACACAGTAGTATTATAAGTTGGATTAAGTTTCCCTCCTTTTGTTGACGACTTCGGAAAACCATATTGAGAGTTGCTGAGTGAATTTCCCATGCAAAATACGGCAACATTGGTCCTACTGCGCTCATACATTCCTGATAACTTTGGCAGATGGAGAAAAAACTTTTGGAAAATATTATTTTCCCACGTCTCTCGATAAGATTCCCACAATTCCGTGGATTTCGGCAGTGAAAAAATTGAGGGATTTCAAACCAAAGTCCCAATTTTCCGCTTTTCATTCATAAATACTATACTGTTAAAAATTTCTTTAAATCCCAAGTGTAATTTTCCAACACTGTCGTTTTCTCCGGTGTTCCATAAATTTTCTCCACCAGTTTATGAAAAAAAAAAGGTTAAATCCACGTGAGCAACATGTGGCGTGCTGAATTAAGTATAATCTAACCCGAGGCAACTTTATATCTTCATTCCCCCATATTTTGCCATCAACATTCTCACCGAGCCCCAGCACATCAACTGCACGTTTAAAGTTCTGTGGCTTTGCCATCACGTCTCCCATTCATAGGTTACGTAACACTATTTTGCCTAACGACTCGCTCGGTGGGTATTATATCCGTAAATTATGGCATCGAGATTTTAGGACTCCTCGTATTGAATTTCGTAGCCCATTGGAAAATACTTTTATTTTATGCTGACGCAGGCACACGCGTGCTCTGGACACATGCCAAACAAATTTCCCATTACAATTTTACAGGTGCTATTTTTTTTTCACCCTTTCACCTATGAATCTCGTTATAGCGCTCGTTAACTATTTTTTAATTACTCAAAGAATAACTCCGTTGGTATTTTATTGGTTGGAAAATCGATGGAGCAAAGTGTTTCAGGCATTTAGCGAATTTGGCATACCGTGATATTGCAAATATTGACTGATTTGTAACGATTTAATCCGAGCAGACGATATTCTGAACGAATTTACCGGGGAGAATGGTTCACGCACACTGTGTGCACAATTTTCTTGGATAAAGTGAAAGAGAAAATATCCTGGAAGAACGTAGTCGAGAGTCTTAGTACTGGAAGCCAGCCAGAATTGCTTTTCATCTTCATCCCTCAATCGTTCGAGCGTGTGTGCCATCCTGCATGAATATACTGGATGATCGTTCTGGAGAATTGGGGATTAGGATGAATAAGACAGCAGTTCTGTTGAGTTTTACGTTGATACTTTTTGTCAAAAATGGAGATAGAGCAGTATCAACTATCCTGAATTAAATTCTCAATTTTTGTTATTGAAAATTTTAAAAAGTATACAAAAGAGTTTTGCTGCTGTTCACCGAGAACAGCAATGGGAAATTGTTCTGAGAATATAATTTTGTACAGATCAACTGCTCAATGCATTCCTCAGGGGAGATAAAAATAGGGATAATAGTAAAAGTGAGATCCGTATACTTGATAATAGGTAACGTGTACCTTCTCCTGGCTCATACCGCACTATCCAAACATGATAGACGTGAGACTCGGGAAACAGGAGGCGCGGAGAGGAAGAGCACTAGCTTCAGAAGCATTCCCTAATTAGGATAAATTCCGGGAGTTGGTTGTCCCGGAGATTGTTGAGAATTTTGTGCGGATTTCCCGTGGAGAAAACTCTCTCAACGTGTACCAGTGAAGCCCCTCGAGCACCAACACATCTTCATCCACCGGATGCGGAAGGGCGTTGGCGCCCATTGGAGATAATGAAGATACCTTTTACCCTCTCGCCTCATCCAGCCCCAAAGACTCATCATTTTGTATTTCAAACAGGTTCATTTTTCAGTGTATAATCCCCCAACTTTTTATTCACCACTCCATGAATCCATACAAGATCCAGTAATTAGGCAAGAAACTCGTTAAAATTCTATAGGGAAAAATTCATCAATGAAAATTGCCCGCAGATGTGTTCTACATATTTGTTTTCAGTGAGTAATTATTTTGCGTGGATTTCGAGGAATTGATTAATTAGCTAATTGGAAAAATTTTCGTTCCTCCGGATTATTTTTGTTTGTTGGAAGAAAAAATTCGACAATTTGTATTCTATGATAAACATGGAGAGTAAAATATTTGAACCATCAAAAGTTCAAGTCAGAACGAATCCAGTTGGTCCCTGAGAGTGAGACGAGTAAAGTGCCATTTAATAGGGGAAATAAATTTTCTCTCACTGGCATGGGCCAAAGCCCCGGGATGAGGCTCTACACGTTGAATGTTGAATGGAGGCACGTGGAAACAAGAGTCGTAGTTTTAAATTCCAATTTAACTGCTGTTTCATTCTCCTTTTTTTACACAAGAATGTTCTTTAAATGGAATTGATGAGTGATCTGGCTGAGATTTATGTCGAATTTTTTGTCTGAGAGTAGAAATTGTTGGAAAACTTTGAGTTTTATTAATTTTTTACAGTCCCCCCCTCCCATTTCCTAGAAATTGGGCTGCAGAAAATGGCGCTGTGGCAGCCTGAGCATCCTCATTCAGCAATTAATTAACATTTCAATTAAATTCCCACCGTCCATTAATTAGAACCGTAATTGATAAACAATTTGCGGTAATTAATTAATTTCAGAGGGATTCCCATTTCGTGAAGTTGGAAATTTATGAGGGCTTTGATATTCTGTGACACCTTTTTTTCGTTTGCTCCAGGGCTGTTCAAGCGGGCAATCCTTTTATCCGGGAGTGCCCTCTCATCTTGGGCAGTGGTAGACGACCCGGCGACATACGCAGTTCGTCTGGCTAAAGCTGTTAACTGCACTGTACCGACTGATCTACTAAAAGAACACGAATTGATCGTTGACTGTCTACGGGATACAAGACTAGATCGTCTCATGTCGGCTGATGTTGAGCCTCCGTCCTTTCTAAGTGCATTTGGACCGAGTGTCGATGGAGTTGTCATAAAGCCTGACTTCCAGAAGGACCTCCTGTCGTATCTTGGACCCGAGTTTCAAGGATATGGGTGAGTCACTTTACTCTTCACTCCATTTTCACATCTCCACACTCAGCAGAAGAAAAAACTTTCATAATTCTGGAAAAGTTGCCCTCGTATCCGTCTTACCAAGGCTTAATTAAATCCGTACTTAATTATCCCCGGAAAATTCTGCCGGAAAAATCATACCCCAGAAAATTTCCTCTTATGTATGATTTGAATAATGAAAATTGTTTATTCTTCATCAACAATTTCATAACGTCAGTACTAAATTGAAAATTTTTTGGTGGATAATTTTTCTGAGGAATAGATTAATTTTTTATCCACAGACAAATGCCGAAGAGAAATGATCCTGGCACACCGATAACCAGCAACAACAAATACGACTTGTTATTCGGAGTAACCACGAGTGAAGCACTGTGGAGATTTGCTGAGCACGATGTGCAATCTGGTTTTGAGGGCGAGAGACGCGACAGAATAATAAGAACATACGTCAGAAACGCCTACACGTACCACTTGACCGAAATTTTTTACACGGTAAGTCAAAATTTCGATAAATCGAATAAACAATCGAAAAAAAAAAGATACATTTGAAAAACTCAAATAGTAAATATGGAAAATACACAAATCCCCAAATCGTTCATGCTTTTTTTTTTCTCTCTGCGGTATCGGATAAAATCGATGGTAAATCACGTGATGCCGGATAAAAAACCATAAAAACGTGAAATAGTGGCAAATGCCATCACATCAACAAGCAAATGCTCTCGATCACGTATCGGAGGCGTTTAGTTTCGACTGATATGCAACGGTCCTCCTGGATATAATAAATATTCGTATGGCTGTTATCTTCGAACATCCGTTAAACGGTGTATTTGGCGGTGGATGAAACGAATGGATCGGATAAACAAGAGAAACAAAATAAAAACAGAGGAGTTGGAAGGGGATAGGAAAAGAGTTGGAAAAATAGTGCGGACAAAAAAAAAAAGGAAGTTGGGAGACAGTATCAGGGGCCACGAGTGCCGGATAATCACATGCACTGTCACGTAATCGGGAAGGGATGACATTGATAGGAAGGGGGAATGATAAATATGGAAGACTCGGATTTCTATTTACTGTGTTTGAAGGATCGGTTTTGAGTATTTTTTATTTTTATCGAGTCCCCCATTGAATTTGAATACGCGGGGCCTCATAAATTAATCTAAATTAATTAACCACTGCTGACGTACGGATTGATTAATGAGATAATATTTTTTTTCCTCAGATTGTTAACGAATACACGGAATGGGAAAGAACAACTCAACACCCATCGAACACTAGAGACGGTTGTGTTCAAGCACTGAGTGATGCTCAATTTGTAGCACCACTCGTTCAAACTGGTGATCTCTTCACACTCCGTCATACCGTAAAACCAAATAGCGATCACATTGCACCGATTCCTGATCATGACAGCGAACCAATGCCCAAGACCTACTTCTACGTTTTTGATTTTCAGGCCAAGGACAGCGATTATCCGGAGGTGAGTGAATCTCTAAAAGATTTCAATCAACCAGATGAAATTTTACACAAGCCAGCGATTTGCCAATTATCAATTACTAATTCCGTTAAATCCATCGAATGCAATTGCAAAGAATTGGAAAATACCGACAAGCATCAACAAAACGAATTGAACATGAATTCAACTGGCTTGGAATTATCTGTAATCCGTCAGTAACGAATCAACATTTCTCTTCAATATTTTCCCCTAATAGATAACGAGTGAAAGCCTGTGGGATGGGCATTACAATGGTCCCTACAATCGGTGAATGTTGCTTTTGATCCTCAATGAGATGGGGAATTTTGAAAAAAAAAATAGAATTCCATCACATGGCCAGCCACCATGAAACCAAATCTGAGATATTGATTTCGATACCGCAATAATAACAGCAACGCTTCACCATTCTGTCATTCCCCTATCTCCGCCCATTCTATTGTAATTTGTACATAATTGAACGTAAACACATCGATAATTGGGAATGAAGGGGTCAGTGTACACTTGCATATTCATATTGGCTACCGGTCGAATAACCGGGAATATTCCTATTTTGATATGCATAAAATTCAGCTACAGTGGTGCAGTGTATAAGCCTACTTGTTTCATCATCCAGTCGTTGATCACGATTAATTGACATTGGAATTGAATTTTTAAACGTACCATGTACCCTATTAAGCGGTTTATTCTTTTATCCCAGTTTAACGTTTGAGTTTTTCTTTCAATTTATATTCAAATTTTCGCTCGAGCTATTTTTCAATCGGCAAATGGCGAGCGCTTTTATGAGGGATTAATATTCACATTGAAAAAAGCACGGGTGAAGCTATTAATTGTATGTCTAACAACTCAACGAATATAAAAATCAATCAGGCAACTACAACAGAATGCCCTTTCGTGAAACGGAATTTTCACTTTGGCGCAGAGCAAATATATTTCCAAACTTTTCCCGAATTTTCCAATACAATTCAATTTCGATTTAATAGTTGTTCAGCTGCCATCTTGTTTCCACGAGGCAATAGACCTCGTCTGTCCCCCGACAATTTTGAATCCTCTTTGACGCTTTCCACCTCAAATCCAATATTGTTCCCCGAATTTTCATTCATTCGTTTGACGCTTTTTCCCCCAGTTTTCCACTTCATTTTCTCGCCTCGATTTTTCCTTTTTAATCTTTCCTTTCAATTCAATTCTCATTCGACAATTTTTTCATGTTTTTTCACTGAAACACGTCACAGAGGCAAATAACTTTTTTTCTTGGGCGATTGATTCAACTCGAAGTAAGCTCAAAGCTCCTGATGGAATTTCCAGAATTTTCCATTCCCTCGGTTGTAGAGAAAATCCCGGGGACCGGGAGTTTTTCGTCGTCTATTTGTTCCTTCGCACACACTTACATATATAGATATGTCAGTGTGTGTACCAACCTTGGAAACCGATCAATTTCTCTATTATTCGTACGATGAAGTGGTTTATCATAGCACTGGCAGACGCATTTCGCCATTCTTCTGTTGGCACTTGTTTCCAACTCCGTGGTTAAATTGACGGGAAATATCAGGTTTTTCGCATTTAACCCAGAGGTAGGCAACTGGTTGACTGACTGGAGTCTCAGCACGTACTCATACGTGTATTTCATGCATCCACCCTGTACCATGTGGCGTTATGGGCGTGGGAAAAGGTGTGGGAGGGTTGGAAAGGGGGTAAAGAGGGTCTGATGTTGATACTCAGTTTGGGGAACAGCGGTAAATGTGAGCACGCGTCCCCTACCCCAGGGTGAACCCGAGGAATTTCACGTAGTGCACGTACCCAAGGATATTCACATCGGAAAGTTTCAATACCTCGGGGCCTTCCACTTGCACTCTGTTTGTCCTTCCTCTCTTGTTTTCTCTCAACCATCTGCACCATCACCTAGACTAGCCAATGGTGGCTATCGATTAACTTCAACTTTCTCACTCCCAGAAATTTACCAACACTCTGTACAGGTACATCAGGTACCCAGAATATCGCAAGTTTTTTAATACGCTCGCTGGCGCTACCCATGGGCCAATTAATCTCAATGTTGCTCAAACTTTTCTCCTAATTTTTTTTTACCCTCCAATTCTCTTTTTCTCGGAATTCCCCCACTGTAAATCCAAAACTTATTTTCAAATTCAATTACATGGGGATGAGAGTAGAATTGTGGGATAATTTTATTCGCCTCGAAATTGCGCTCTATTTTCTCAATTAATCCGGTATTCATTTATCTCGTGTTGGTTTTATCAATTTCGATGAATAATTGAGTTCAGTTGACTAAACAAAAATTCATGCAATAGTACTGCAGATAAACAGCAATTGTATTTAAATAAGAGGGAAATGTCGAAAATGTTTTTTATAAAAAATTGAATTTTATGCGATTAATTGTTAATTTGCCCGGATGGAAGGAAAAGGTTGTCAAATGACTTTGGCATTATGCTGTGTCGAGCATGAAGTAGTTAATCCTTGCGTGGGGTATCCCCCTACCACAGCCGCATATCTTCTCGATATAATAAATGTGACGTTAAGAATTCCGTAGAGCGAGCATTGGGAGCATTGAATTTGAATTCAACTGGCGAGAAGGAAAAAGCCCGAAGAGCTTTGGTCTTTCCCTGGTAGTACGAAGGTGGAAAAAGGGTGAGGACGACCGAAGGCTTTCATCGTTTCATTGCACCGTACCGATGTTACTTATGAATAATGCAGTTCCATTTTTCCCGTGATGCGGCAAAATGTTACCTGTGCGATATGAAAAAGAATCAGCCGGACCTAAACGCAGAATCAATACCTTACAAGCTATTTCGATGTCACCGAGCCACTCTCCTGAGTCCTTTCGATTTCAAAATGGAATATTGCAACAACATTTATCTGTCCCTCAATTTCTCTCCCGTATTTTTTCTATGTCCCACCTCTTCCTTTTTTTATATCGCGTGGGTCAACGATCTGGGGTATTGGGGTACTTTTGAATGAAATTTTTATGGCAGCTCTGCACGGAGGCCAATAAACAAATGTTTGTGCTGCCTCAATGATTCAATAGCTCTTTCGCTGCTGTGAGTACACCATCAAAATGGAAGAGGGTGAAAAAAGAAGAAAAAAAATTGCAGGCAAAAATATTGCCGATCAACTTTCTCACGACAGACAACGGAAAAATCGTTAAGTATCGCTATGTTGTGCCGTCGTGTTACGCCTTCATCTATATAAAATGAAATATAACACAGCTGAGCTATTAATGTCCACCCAGGTTTTGGCGTGTTTGAGGTGTGTCCACGAAAGAATTTATTGGCTCTATCCGCTGGTGAAGAGGGGGGAGGAAATTATTGCACAACCAACGGTATTTATTGGAATTCAATGAAACGAATCGCAGTGAAATCCCCGGCCCCAAACAAAACCCTAGCTTTCCCCGGCGACCACTGTCGCCCGAGATTCCGCTACACCAGAGTTCTCTATTTATGCCAATCAATTCCAACAACAATGTTTTTGGTGAAGAATGAGATTTACTGGTGTTGAATGCAAAGGGGTAGTATTTTACTTGTTTTTTTTTTTCCACGGCGGAAGGTAACAAACGAATTGGTAATTGGAAACAAAGATAACGGCGAATTTTCCAGTGCGGGATGCTTGATTTTTTTTGTTTATCAATTTTTTTCACGTTATGAACAAAATATTCCGACAGCCGTTTGTTTTTCAGTGGCGAAGGTTTTTCAACAAGTTGAAAAGTACGAGTCAATGGGCATAAAAAGCTCCAGGTCAATACTTTGGCCATGAGCATCGAACTGAAACTCGTGCGAACTGTTACGACCTCTGGCCATCACGGTTGACAGAGAATGCAGTCATGTTTCGTAACTGCATGGCCAGGGTGTGGGAATAGTGGAATCACTCCACCAGTGAATGAGATCGACACGTCCCTCTGTCCTAGACTGGAGGGAACGGACGTTTCGACAGCGCCATTCGCTCGGAATAATTGTTGAAGAAATTTCCATATGTAGCAGTTGGAAATTTCTCGGGACTCGCACCGTCAGGAGAGACAGTTAAAATGAATTTCTTGTTAAAAAAAAAAGATGTTTCCATTGAATTTGTCAAATCCTTGAAATACCAATTGACCAATTTTCATCAACATGACGTGAATCGACGAGCAATCATTGGCCAGTTGGAAATTTAATGAATCAAATTGATAGCAATCATTCGTCAATTCATAATCCTGAGATTTGGTCTGGTACAACTAGCCTGAGGTCCACATGTGATACTGTCTCTGGAGGCTCCTCAAGATGATAATCTGTGCATTGCGTTATCGTGAAACACCGGGATGAAGCGGAAACCAGGGAATGGGGGGTGTGTCGGAAGAGCCGTAGGGGTGGTGAACGCGTACTGAATGTCAAGACAATGGGTGTACTGTATAGTACATAGGGGTGCACATAACCGGGCACGTGTGCAATAGCACTGCCTCGGTTCGGTGGCATAATATATGTGTGTGGTCAATAATGTACTGTGACAATCGGTGGAGCTATGGATTTGGATCAGCAGAAATCGTCCTCTGAGGGTGAAATCCGGTGGATGTATTTTCACCATCCGCTGGTCAAATTGTCTTTTTTTTCTCTCTTCCTCATCATCAACTCTCAGGCGATATTGTCTCGACAAGAGAATGAAAATTCTTCGAACACCACTACCTCACAGCAATTTCACCCATTCAACCAACTTGTACTCCCGTTAATTTCACCCCAAAATTTGGCATTCAACTCTCAGCTCAAGCTCAACTCGTCCCGTCCAATTGTTGTTGTCATTTCCTGCATATCAGACGAGAATTCTCAGTCACCCTGAGCGTGTCATTGCATCGATTCACGCTCATTCATGCAAACACCCTGACATCGCATAGAATGTTCCTGGCGTAACCGCCAAACTACCGTTAACGCGCACTCGCTACGATTGCTATTTCTCCAGTCCTCCAAATAAAATGAAAACTATCCATACCTCTTCCATCGTACCTACTATTTCTA